TGCTTCTTGGCCTGCTGTGTTCATCCAGCTCTGCACCTTGTAATCTGCTTTATTGTTGACTAGGGACACTGGGGAGATTGTGACCTTTCATTGGATTGTCTATGTCCACCTGAACGGGCAGACAGGGCCTTGGTTTGATGTCTCCTTTGAGCGACGGCAGCTCCTATCACTGGCACAGACAGTGTCCGCCTGGATTTTTGTGCTCACACCTCCCTGATGGAAAACTGTGATTGTCTGACTCAGAGAGGAGAGCCTCAGCTGATGGCAATACTCCAGTACTACCGCAGTATTGCAGTGCTCTTTTCAGAGAACATTTTCGCTAAGTACAGAATCCAGATTGGTACTGGCTGGTGTTTCCTTTATTTGCAGGCACACTCTCGACCCTGCTACCAAACTTCACTGACCTCCATGTGCTTACACTGGCTGGCAGGGGTATTTTGCCCACAGTGCCGTTCTGACAAACTGCTAATTATCCCATGGTTCTAATGTGGCTGCTCTTTCTGCTGCTTTCCAGTCCGATTGGATACGATTTCACCCAAGCGCCTCAACTTCTCTCGGGTGCATGGAAGGAGTACACGAGAACTGTGGAAAACTTCCTGAAGGGCTGTAAATGGTGAGTGCAGAGTGCAGGAAAACCTGGAAAAGTCATGGAAATTTCTCAAATCAAAGGCCCCAAAAAATTAAGAAATCACAATCCTTTGTAAAGACAAAGGTGAGGTTTTTCTGAACTTAAGGGGAGTTTTCCTGTGCTTTGTTTTCCTGTGCTTTGTTTTCCTGTCAGCCAGTTCCCCGACCCATAACTTAGTGAGGTTTATAAAATCATGAGGGGCTTAGATAAGTTGAATAACAAGGGTCTTTTCCCTAGGGTGGAGGATTTCAAGACTACTATTTTTAAGGTGAGAGAAAAAGATTTAAAAAGGACATGAGGGGCAACTTTTTTTACACGGATTGTGGTTCATGTGTGGAATGAGCTGCCAGAGGAAGTGGTGGATGCAGGTACAGTTAGAATATTTTTTAAAAATTTGGGTAGGTACTTGAATAGGAAAGGTTTGGAGGTTTTGGGCCAAATGCAAGCAAGTGGGACTAATTTAGTTTGGGAACATGGTTGACATGGACTGGTTGGACTGAGGGTCTGTTTCTTTGCTGTATGACTCAAGAATTGTTTGCTTTTCTGTTCATATCCAGAATCTAGTACAGATTTTTGTTCTCCTCCTGCCTGGACTTGTCAACAGTGGTCAGCTAATTTGGGGCCTGCAGTTCAGCAGCAGTCATTGGCCAAGTGATGTCACCCTAGATTCCCTGTGGCTCGCTCCTTAATTGTGTCTTGTGAGGAGAGCTGTGCTTGCTGGTATCAGGTGCCTCTCACTATACATTTCACAAGCCCTATAACCCTCAGGGGATTCTGTAGTCCTCCACTCCAGTGACCTTTTGCACATTCCCCTGGCCCCAATTGATCGGTTTGGCATTTAGCAGTGAGAATTCTGCAGTGTGCTTGCTGTATGCCAGAAGGCTAGGCTATTCTCCTCTGGCTTTCTGAGACACAAGGCACAGTAAAAAGCCAGTTAACCTCTTGGGGCTGTTCTGCCACCCAGTGAGATCATGCTGACATGTAACCAAACTCCATGTTACCCGCTTTTGCCCCCGTATCTTTTAATATCAGTGCCTTTGGTTAACAAAAATCTGTCAGTCTCAGATTTAAAATTGCCAATGGATCCAGCACCAGTTGCTGTTTGCGGACGAGAGTTCCGAACATCAGTCGCTCTTCGAGTGTTGAAGTTCACTCCTGAAAGGGGTAGTGCTAATATTCAACTTTGCCCTCTATCCCCAAACTCCCCCACCAGCAGAAGTAGTTTCTCCCTGTCTGCCTTATCACAAAACGTAGATCGGGTCAACTCTTAATCCTCAAAAATTAAAACATTCCATTGGTGCTCCTCAGAATAGTTGATGGCATCACACAGCAATGAAGTATGTTTTGAAGTATGGTTATTGTAGCTTGTGAAGCAGATTGATTTTTGTGTTCTTTCAGTTGAATGAGCTTGTCTAAGTGGCTTGTTTCCCTACTTTGCTCTGCTGTGAATTGCATCGAGTGCAAGCATCTTTTCTTTTACTGATTTATTGTTGTGCGTTTTATCCCAGGGCCCCGGATGGTTCTTGCATTCTGACCAACAGCGCTGACAATACGCTGCGGATCTTTAATCTCCCCTCTGAGCTCTATACCGGGGAGTTGGATGACCTGCCAGAAATGGTATCTGTTTCTTTGACACTCTTGCACTGTTCTCGTCTTTCACAGTAAGAGAGAGACAAAAATGAGATCTCGCTCCAATCCCAAATTTCTTGCCCTCCTGAAGCGTAACCACTTTCTGGGGTTTAATTCCAGCCTTCAGTGCATCTTTATCCCCAAGTTATTTGACCATGGTGAATGTCACAAGCCAGACAAATTCTGATGTCCTTCTCCGCTCCTTTTTCAAACTTGTTGATGATGGGTGCATTCATGCTAGCTCCAAACTGTGGACATTATCTTGGGTCACAGTAGAAAGGTCCTGTCATCTTAATAGGAGATTGTCACTGCATGTTAATGAGAGGTGGATCTTGGTTGGGATTCCCAGCACAACCCATAATACAGGAGCATTGGGAGATGACGATTCCCATTCAAGACATGTAGTGCATATGGAAGTTGCTAGGTTTATGTGGTGCTAGGCACTGCATGGTGCACTTCAGTATTGAAGATGCCAAACTAGGCTGCCTGCAATGCTTCTGCATTTTAACTGGCATCTCAAATTCTTGTACTTCAGCTCTTGAATAAGTAGAGTTGTTCCTGCCAGAGTGAGGCACGTGGTTTTTTTTTTTGCATGCTACGAGGCACTCCCCTGTATTAACTGTAGACGGTTTATGTAGTGAGGTTTCTTGTTTGATACGTTTAAAATATTTCCAAAGGCTTGGCTAGGAGACCTGAGAGTCTAGAACTAGAAAGGGGGAGGGCATAAGAAGCTGTAATTTCAGACTGAGCTGAGGAGAAAGTGGTGTTGAGAGAGATGATCAGCCATGATCATACTGACTAGCAGAGCAGATTCAAGAGGCCATATTCCTGCTCCTGCTCATCTTTTACATGAATAAAAATACATGGGAGCTTTCCCTGAAAACCATTTTCTTCATTGATTCTTTACTGGAATGTAGGCATCTCTGGTTAGTTCAGCATTTACTGCCCACCCCTAATTACTATTTGAGAAAGTCAGAAGTCACGTAGCACAAGGCTATAGTCCAACAGGTTTATTTGAAATCATAAGCTTTCAGAGTGCAGTCCCTTTGTCAGGTGAAGTGAGAAGGTGGTGAAGAGCTGCTTTGAACTGCTGCAGTCCTTGGGCTGTAGGTATGTGCACAGTACACTCAGGGTAGGGGGCTTCAACAAGAGTGAAGGAATGGTAATCATGGTTCCAAGTCAGGTTGGCGTGTGGGTTGGAGGGAGACTGGCAGCTGGTGGTAGTCATTCCAGTTCATCTGCTGCCCTTGTCCTTTTAGATGGTTGATGTCATAGTTTTGGAAGAGGTGCTTGAAGAAGGGTTGACAAGTTGCTGCAGTGCATCTTGTAGATGGAACACGCTGCTGCTACTGAGCATCACTGGTGGAGGATGTGAATATTGAAGTGGGTAGATGTGCTGCCAATCAACTGGGTCAGATGGTGTCAAGCTTCTCGACTGTTGTTGGAGCTGCATCCATCCAGGTTAGCAGGCAGTATTCCATCACACTCCTAACACCTGCCTTGTAGGCAGTGGAAAGGTTTTGTGGAGTCAGGAGGTGAGTTAGTCACTGTAGAATTCCCATCTTGTGACATTTTATGGCCACAGTATTCATACAGCTAGTCTAGTTACATACTTGCTCAGTGGCAATCCTTTCTATGACTTTCTGTTTTGTTAAGGTGCTCCTTAACACCTATCTCCTTTACCAACCTCTTGGTAATCTATTGTAAAATCTCCATACATAGTTAGATGTCAACGCTGGCTTGGTAACATTCCTGTGAAACACTGTAGGACACTTCAGAACATTCAAAGGAGCTATGAAAATGTAACTTTTGATCCATTGTACCACAAAGAATTTCTGATTAGTCCCATTCTCCCCTCCTTCAGTAGCCTTGCAACATTTTTCGTTTAATGTATTGATCCAGTTCCCTTTTTCAAAGCTTTATTAAATCATGCTTCCACCAAGCATTCCAGACCTCAACAAATACAAACAATTTTTAAAAATTAAGCTCTCATCTCCCCTTTGGTTCTTTTGCCATTGATCTTACCTCTTGCGGTTGAATTTGCAGAGTGCCGTCTTGCGTATGTCTGAGGGAGATACCATATACGATTATTGCTGGTACCCAATCATGTCATCAATGGCTCCTGAGACCTGTTTGTAAGTGCTGGTTGCTTCAAAGTGCACTGTATATTTGATGTTTGGATTTAAGAGTTCCTCACCCCAGCACAAACTACACCCTCTCCCTACTGTACTTAATCCACCAGCAACGTTGCAGGAGCAAGCAGCTTTAACACGAGCAATTTCATTAGGTCATAGTTAGATGGGCAGCAGGTTCGTGTACCTCTTATTTGATAGAATGTCACACTCACAAAAGGACCACGAGTGACTAAAGCAAGTGTGCAATGAGAAAAGTTATTTAATCTGCAAATTTACGGCACTTGGCCCATTATGCCTGTGCTGGCTCTTTGAAAGAGCTGCCCAATTCCTCCCGTTCCTCTCAGCCCTGGAGATTTTTACATTGCACATAGCTGTCATGTTCTATTTCCGATTGAATCATCTTGTTGCATAAACAAAACATCTTATCTGCTGTCAGAAATTAGCCCAAGCTCCACAGCAGCAGTCACTGATTCGGGGCTCAATCCAATTTGTGACCCCAACTGGCAGCCATAGCGCTGGGTTGGGGAAGCTCAGTTTAGATGGAAATAGATTCTCCTTTTTTAATATAATAACAGAAGGGTTGAAAGCCAAAGGAGACAGATTTGGGGGGAAAGCATCAAACGATTTGTAATGCACTGTCAAAATTCGTCTTCAAAAGGAAATTGGACAAGTAGTTGGAGGATTAAGGTGAGAGGAGAGAGACTTAAGAAATGACATGGGGGCAATGTTTTTACACGGAGAATGGTTAGAGTGTGAAATGAACTGCTAGAGGAAGTGGTGGATGCGGGTACAATTACAGAATTTAAATGATATTTGGACAGGTACGCGAATAGGAAAGGTTTAGAAGGATATGGGCCAAACGCAGGCAAGTGGGACTAGTTTAGTTTGGGAAGCTTGTCGGTATGGACGGGTTGGACCGAAGGGCCTGTTTCCATGATGTATGACACTATGATTGCTGTTGGATGGAGGGTCTGAATGGTGGCCTCCTGGGCTATGCTGTGCATTGTGTGATATTGACTGAGCTGGTTTATATATTTCCAGATTCCTCATGTAATGGGTTTCTTGTTGGTTGCCTTCGTACAAAAGCATTGCTTTTTACACACTCATGCTTCACCTCATCCCTGTTTAGTTTGTCAGCCAGTTTCTTTGTACTTCGCGCAACTGCTAAAGTGTGAGGCGAGACAGTGGTCAGGGCATAGCTTCTGAACTCTGTGCTGTTGCCCTTCCTTTCGCAGTCTGGCCAGCAGCAGCCGTGACAACCCAATTCACATCTGGGACGCCTTCTACGGGGACCTACGGGCCACGTTCCGGCCATACAATCACCTGGTAAGTCCAGGCGGGTTTAACCTTCATTCGCTCCCACTACCCACATACGTCCAGCAGCTTGAACAGGTGGAATCCTAGGACATGGAGCAATGTTTGCTGGGAACCGCATTTTGTGTACGTGTGTGTGTGTGAGACAGGGTTTGGGCTGTTGGTGAGTTACTGCTGTAATTCTGGGCAAGAGTTGAAGTTCGGGGGTGGGGGAATCAGCCTAGATTATTGCTAGTGACCAGCTGCTGACTCACTGTGCTCTGCAGAGCGTGTTCTTGTGTGATTCCTCATGTAATGGGATAGCTAATATTTACAAGATAAAAACCAAAAGAACTGCAGATGCTGTAGATACTAGCACAAAAACAGAAATTGTTGGAAATGCTCAGCAGGCCTGGCAGCATCTGTGGAGAGCAATCAGAGTTAATGTTTCAGGTCAATTGACACTTCCTCAGAAACCGTTTTTATTTAGTATTCAACTCACTGCCACATCTCTTCCAGGCATGCCAGTTCTGAGGAAGGGTCACTCGACCTAAGATGTTAACTCTGATTTCTCTCCACAGATGCTGCTAGACCTACTGAGGTTTGCCAGCAATTTCTGTTTTTGTGCTAATATTTACAGTTGGTTGATTAAAGAGAGAACGGCCTCTGGGGGCATGTGAGAGGTGGGGTGCAGTCAAGGGTAAGGGACAATCACCTTCTGTTACAGTCACTGATGACACACTTGACTGGACTGCTATCAAATCAAAATTTGACACTATAATGTTGAGAGAATTGGAGTAAAAGCTTAATTTAAAAAACTAAATTTTGGGTTGGGGCTCTTGATGAAAGGGAAGCAGAGTGGTTTAGGGAGTGAATTTCAGAATTTAGAGTCTAGGTAGTTGAAGGAAAAGACACTTCTGGTGGAACGATACATAAGAGCCCAGAATTGGAGGATTGTGAAGATATCAGATGGTTCGAGAACTAGGGTGATGAATGAATGGAACCGAATGCATTAGGTGAGAGATAACAAAGGGACAGTGAGGTATGTCTGATTCTTGGAGGCTATATAACATGTCAACCAGTGGAGGTACCAGCCATTACCAAGTGGTTTTTATTTGAATTTTGTGCTTGCAGGATGAGCTGACGTCTGCTCACTCCCTCTGTTTCACACCCGATGGGACTCAGCTGTTCTGTGGCTTTGACAAGACGGTGAGGGTGTTTGATACATCTCGTCCAGGTCGAGAGTGTGAGAAGAGACCAACACTGGGTATGTCTGACTGCTTTTATTTCAGAACCTGTGAGAGGGAGTTAGGGTTTATTGATTAGAAGAATCACTTGTCAGTTTGTTGTTGAGTCATTTTGGAATTACTTTGATCCATCATTCTTTTTACACTCAATGGGGCTGGAGTTTATTGCTCCCTCTAGTCCAACCAAGTTGCTGCAGTATCTTGCCGAATCAGCTTGACGAATAGCTTGACCATCGCATCCATAAGATATGAGGCAGAAGCAGGCCATTCAGCCCATTAAGGCTGCTGTGCCATTCAATGAAATTATGATCTAACCATCAATTCTGCTTTCCTGCCTTTTCCCAATAACCCTTGATTTCCTTACTGAATACAAATCCCAACCTCGGCTATATTTAGTGACCCAGCCTCAACAGCCCTACGTTGTAAAGAATATCACAGGTTCAAAATTCAAGAAATTCCTCATCATCTCTGTTTTAAATGTGTGATCCCTTTATTCTGAGATTATTCTCTCTGGTCCTAGACTCTCCTACAAGGGAAACAGCCTCACCACATCTACTTTGTCAGGTCCCCTAAGAATCTTGAATGTTTCAATAAGGTCTCCTCTCATTCCTCTATATTTCAATGAGTACAAGCCCATCTACTGAGCCTCTCCTCATAAGACAGTCCGTCCAGAGCAGGTATCATTTAGCGAATCATCTCTGGACAGCCAGTAAATCTTGAGTTGAATCCTCTTAAGTTTGCATGTTGTACATGCGTGTCGCACTCCATAGGCACAAAATCCAGGACGACGCTTCCAGTGCATTATTGACAGAGCATTGCACCTTCATAGATACCGTCTGCTTGGAATAATAATGTTCTCCCAGAAACCAGGGGTATACAGAACCCTTGGCTTTTTACAGAGGAGCAAATGAATATTTGAAGAGAAACATTTAATTGGGGCAGGAGAACAGTTAATTGGGTAGTTTTTTCCAAACAGCTGGTAGAGGAAAGATGGGCTGAATGGCTGTATCCAGTTCTGTACGATTGTTTCGCTTGTGCACTGTAGCTGCTTCTAAAAAGTTGGCTCACCAGAAATTTGCTGCACTCCACGCCTTGGCATGAGGTGAGAGCCTAGGGGAGCTGACGGGTATGGATGCAGCCCAAGGAAGCAGTTAGCTTTTGAGGGATAGTTGGACGAAACAGGACCACCATCCCCCTCCCAATTTGCCTGTGAACGTACAGCGATATAAAACTACAGAATTCCACTGACCTCTCTCTCTGTTTCCAGTGAAGAAACGGGGGCAGACGGGGATCATCTCGTGCATCGCCTTCAGCCCTGAGCATGACCTGTACGCCTGTGCCTCCTACTCCAAGACAGTGGGACTGTACTCCCGGGACAAGGGGACTGTGCTCACCATTTTACAGGGCCACCAGGGAGGAGTGACGCATGTGACGTTTTCACCTGACGGAAACCTGCTTTACACTGGAGGGCGGAAGGTAAGCCGGGAGCCTTTGAGAGGAGAAGGAGATATTCTTAATATAGGCGTTTATGACCAGATGCCATAGTAGATTTCCAGTTTCCCTCTCCTTCATTAATCTTCTTCCTCGACTGGTTGGAGCAAGGTTAATTTAAAAAGAATCCCTGCCTTGAGGATGTCTTTGTTGCAGAATTAATATTTTAAAAGGAGCCAATTTCACTTGGCTTTCTTGAGTTAACAGAAAAGTGAACTTATTAGCCACTAAATAAATACGAATGTAACATGCATAGACAGATTCAAAATGAAAAGTTCAATGGAACAGTTTCTATGGGTCGATGGTGGAGAGTAAACATTGAGCATGAATGATTGAACAGTTGATTTTGGAATTCTTGGCTTTGCAGATTAATTGAAATCCTTTTGTCTTGTTTCCCTCTGACAATGGTTGGTTGACAGCACTCAGTAAGAGTGTCCTCCATTTGTACCTGTTTCCTTTTGACTAGCTACTGCCTTCTGGCCCTCAGAGAGAGTGAGCCCTTTAGCTGCAATACTGGGGGAACTAAGTGAGTTGGAATGTGACTGTCAGTGTACACCAGTCGTGGGTTCAGGCCAGAATGCATGAGTACCTCATTCCTCTGGCGTGCGCACACTCCTTGATTTATTAGCACAGCTTCCCCTTATGCGCAGAGACCCTGACTGAGCTAGCTTTTTACCCCTGTTATTGTGTATGCTTGAAGGGACAGACACAAAGTATAGCCGCCTCCCAGCCGGCTTTATTTCCTACCATCATCTTTGCAGACTGAGATAACTCTCGGGAGATTGCAGTTCAGGTTGTAGTGCATTCCTCCCTTGAATCATCCTGAAAACCTTGTCTGGTGGGATATTTCAGCATCATTCTCTCTCTCTCTCTGTCTCATCCTCCTCCTTCTCTCTCACTCCCCCC